ATTGGTTAGCTGGGCTAGTGTGTGTTGTGATTGGTTACCTGGGCCAGTGTGTGTTGTGATTGGCACCACTCGGCGCCTGGTCCGGAAATGTCACCCCCCCCTTACCATAGCCGCCTGTGAGCTTCAGTGTAAATATTGCGTCAAAATCAAATCAATTTGAGCGTGATTTAAACCCGGATGATTGTAAACACTCTAAGTTCGTCTGCCTTGGGAAAGCTAGTGTGTCTCCGACATAGTGATAACACTCGTTGCCTTCTCTAGTGCAGCTCAACCAGGTCTCGTCCCATTCGTCGGTATTTGATACCACAAATCCCGGAAAATATGCTTTGTAGTCCAAACGAGTCGTTTGTTGTAGTTTTTGAAAAGTGATTTCTGTTAAATAAAATATCTCCTTTTGAAGTGGACTTTGAGCTTTGTAACTTTGCAGATCTTTTTTTATGCTCAAACAGCAACATTACAGACTAACTAAAGTTGAAAAAGTGAAAAAGCATAATAGAGGACCCCTTTAAAATTAAGATTTACTTCAAAATTTAAGGCAATAAAAAGTCCAAACATAGATTCAGTGATTTCTTTGTCAGTATGATTAAAATTCTTCCATGAAAAAATTTAGTAAAAAAATCATACCTTAAATTGTTTTTTATTGAATTTTAGCTTTGTTTTTTAGTTTTTGCATTGCATAAGTTCACCATTTAAAAAATATATATATAAAGCAGCTTTGTATTGTTACAATGTTAGTAGTATATTTTTAAGTTGTATGGACAGAGGGGCAGGCCAAAATCAAAAGTGCATTATGGGTGTTGAAGTTTTTGACTAATGGAAATGCCACAGCTCTATTTCTATGTAGCAACGATTTCATTTTATTAAAAGCTTATCTTGTCATCGGTGAATTACCGCTTTAAATGTTACTAATCTACATTGTAACAATTGCTATATAGTTCAAATTATGGTTACTCTAGAAATGAAAAAAATATCTCGGCATAATGAATTTCATCAAAATGCAAAAAAATTGTTAGGATGTTTTTGTATGTCAATTAGAAAAGGGGCAACACTCGCTCTTATCAGACATCAAGAACAGCAGTAACATTGCTTTATACAGTCTTGCAATCAGCAACAAGTGTGCTGCTCTGCCAAGTCGGGGAAGTCTGCCAAGTTTGTTTTTTTCAATCTTTTTTTCAATGGAAGTCACTCCCCGAATTGGCAGAGTAGCACACCTGTTGCTGATTGCAAGACTGTATAAAGCAATGTTACTGCTGTTCTTGATGTCTGATAAAGGCCTGGATAATGGCCGAAACGTCACATATATTTTAACCAATTAAAAAAAGTTGTATTTCTTCATAAGTGAGTGTTGCACCTTTTCTAATTGACATAGATTTTGAATTTCGGTTGCACCTCCTCTTTTGTTGGTAGAGCACCTCTTTTCAGTAGTTTTTGAATATAGGATGTTTTTGTACCTGTATCTCCCATATAATTAACCTAGCTGATGTGGGGTGAAAACCTTACTATTTATTTAAATAAATATATATTTATTTTTTTATCTTTGGTTACAAAATTGTTGCAAACTTTAAAAATCATTGATGTCTTAAAGGCACAATATGTAAGATTTTTTTAAATTAAAATATTCAAAAACCACTAGAACAGTGTTATGTATTTTGCTGGCTTGTGTACTTACATTATCCCAAATGTTTCGAAGAATGTTTAAATCCAGAGAAATAAGCCATTTTAACTAGTGACACGGAGCGTGTCTATAGTGTCATTGTGTCGCCTGCCAATGACGTCATAACCCCTCGATTTCCGGTTTTGTTTTGTAGAAAACATGGAAACACCAAAGACGCTTTAATATGTTGTGCGTTTTAATAGACCGGTGACGACCACACAGAGTAGCATTATAACAGAACTTTCAAATGTATCAAGTATGATAAAACAGCGCTGCTTTACCCCACATACGCACGACCGGAAGGAGCGGAAGCGGTCGACTGTGGCATAATAAAAGCTCCGCTGCTTTCGAGTCGTGTGTCGCGCTCGTTCAGCGGCCTCGTTTCGCTTCGACGGCTTTCAGCCTCACCCTGCTTCATTCTACTACGTTAATAAATCATTAGCTCATCCATGAACATGATTTCTGCCCGAGTCCCGTCGGATTGCGTCGGCTGTGGGGATGAAGACCACAACTCCCATGATTCCACACTCAGTCACCGCGTCATCAAACTACACCTTTGTCTATTTATTTATTTTGAATACGTGCCCTCTAGCAGCGAAAATTACATATTGTGCCATTAAGTTCCATTTCTTCAAACATTCTGAAACATCTAACAGAATGATATGTGTCTAGTTGATCACTGAAAGAATGTCTATTCACAATAATGGTCTTCAGGAGGAGAGGATGTATTTCTGTGGGGTGAACTACCGTGAGGAAAATTACAAGATGCAGGACAGCCAGGAGGAAACCGACATGGATTTGCCAGCCGCATCCAAGAGGATTGAGGAGAGAGTGAGGGTTCTGGAGGATGAAGGCGTGGAGCTCATTAACATCCCGGTGCCCAAGTTCAGCGACAGTGACCCTGCTGACATCGTTCATGACTTCAACAGGGTGAGAGCAGATATTTATCTCCCTCACAAAGCCATACATTCACACATTTCATCAGATTCCCAAAAATAGACTACTTCTACCAAAATAGTAACATGCTGGTTTTCCTTCTCTGCTTTTAGAGACTGACAGCCTATCTGGATCTGCGTCTGAACAAATGCTACGTCATTCCTCTCAACACTTCTGTCGTGATGCCGCCCAAAGACCTCCTGGAGCTTCTTGTCAACATCAAGGTAACTGCAGCAACACTGCTATCTTATATTTGAGCTTCTTCAAAATAGCCATCCTTTAGTCTGCCAAAAAACCTTGTGAATTGCCTACTTAGACACTTGAATAATGCCCAGAAATGAAGTCTAGGTTGTGAACTGGCAAGGCTTTGCAACACGGTTGTAGTCTGTTGTTCAAACATGTGACTTGTGTAACTTTTGTTGTGTTCGCAGGCTGGAACATACCTGCCGCAGTCCTACCTGGTGCGTGAACAGATGATAGTGACCGGGAAGTTGGAGCATGTGGATCAGCTGGGTTACTTCATCTACAACCTCTGCAGAGAGAGAGACACTTACAAACTGGAGCGCAGAGAGACCGTTTTTGGTAAACGCATGAATCTGACTATACTTTTGGCGAGCAACCCATTGTTCAAAAGTTCATTACACACTAACTTTTACAGTCGATGTTTGCCAATTAAGACTTTGTCTCATTTATGAGTCTTTACTAGGGAGTTTTTTTTATTTTAAATTTTATAATGTTACAAAATCTCTTATTTATTTTTTCAAAATATATTTATTGGCTTTGGTTTGAACAACAACAACAACAAAAAAAGACATTCCAAACCATTAAAACCACTGAAGCAAAATAATAGAATTAAATAAAATAAGGTAAAATAAATGTACATTTTTCATACATGTATTATTTAGCCATTTACAGATTTCTATTTCAAATAATGAAATTATTTCAATGCTGTTCTATTCAAACTTTCTATACTTCAAAGCATCCGGAAATAAAAAGTATCACAAGTTCAACAAAAATATTAAGCATCACAACTGTTTTCAACATTAATAATAATAATTTTTTTAAATAATAATTGTACGTTTTAGTAATTTAGTTTTGTCATTTTCTATTCCTTTTTTAAAAATATCTGTGAAGTTACATTTTTATTCAGTTATTCAGTTTTAGTTCTTTTAGTACATCAAGGTAAACTATATGAAAATGAGAAATGCTCCCTTGGTGACTAGCAGAAATTAATATATATCATGGTACATCATGGTTTCTTCATAAATATGAAGCAGCACAACTGTTTTCAACATTGATAATAAGAAGCTTTAGCAGCAAATCGGCATATTAGGATGATTTCTGAGTAATGATGCTGAAAATTTAGCTTTGTCATCACAGGAATAAATTATATTAAAATAGAAAATAAATATTTTAAATTGTTGAAAAATTTGAGAGTATTAAATTGTTTACTCTATATTTTTTAAACAAATAAATGTAGCCTTGGTGAGCATAAGAGACTACTTTCAAAAATATAAAAAAATCTTACCAAACTCATATAAACTAATATATATATATATATATATATATATATATAGGGATGCACGATATATCGGCCACCATATCGGTATCGGCCGATAAATGCTAATTTTTTCTGTTATCTGTATCGGCCTGATAAGAAAATTTGGCAGATATCTTAAAGCCGATAAATAATGCTGAGCAGCATTAACTACACAGAGCCGTTGTTCACAGACGAGCTGCGCAAAAAATTGTGCAAATATGATCGTGGTTTTGCGCAGCTCGTAAGTGAACAACGGCTCTGTGTAGTTAATGCTGCTCAATGTGAAAGCCCGCAGGTGATGGAGATTTACCGCTGATTACATAACTGGCTTTCTAATAAGATGCGCGTTAAATATCGCATGCGATTTATCGTGCAGCCCTAATATATATAAAATTTATTAATTTTAAGATTACATGTTGACATAAATGTCAGATATTGAGCTCTGAAACAAGCCACATACATTCACCATACCATTTTTCTCTTTTTTTCACAGGTATCCAGAAGCGAGAGGCTCTCAACTGCCACAAGATTCTCCACTTTGAGAACAAGTTTGTGGTGGAGACGCTTATCTGTGAGCCGTAGGGGGGGGTGAAGACAGCTGGGTAACAAGATAAAACCACTTTTGACAAATTCCACTCTGACCCTTCCTCTCCTTCCATTAAACCTCTTCCCGTTTCCCCCGTTTGTGTGCGTGGGAGTGTGTGCTGATCTCAGATTTGTTTCTCTGTATAGCAACAATCAATATTACAGAGAGAGAGAATGAGACTGAATGCCAAGAGCAATATAATGCGTAGAAACATTTGTGTGTAGGCAAACATTTGGACCAGTTTCTCTCTCTTTGTAAGCATTTTTCTGTGTCTGGGTTTCTGTTAAGCGGGCAGTTTAAAGTCTCCAACAGGGTGTGTGGGGTGTGATGTATGAAAATAACTAGTACCAAGTTGACCATGGGAGAGGGAAGGACTCGCAGAGGATAAATTAGTGTACATTTAAAACTGTGAACTGTCACAGATACCAGATTATATACTGGAAAATATATTTGGCTTGAGATTTGTGATATATGGCCAATTATCACATGTAGGAAATACACATAGAATTGATTTTTGTACTAGTTAATCTTTAGTCTAGATTTTTATTTTAAATGACAGATTTTGCTCTGCTGTAAGCTAATACACTGCTAAAACATCCTATAGTAATCTGGAGGATGCAAAACATTTTTTTAAATCTTAAATATCAAAAAGCGTTAAAATGTCAAATTGCAGACTAATAAAATGTTAACTATTATGTAATTTAGGGGCTGCTGAGGTATTGGGGGTAGACTGATGGATGAACTATGTAAAGGTTGTTTAAATTTACTAAAATGTCTACAAAGTTCAACAAGAGTTGGAATGATTTATACTTTGCACATAACCCAAAAGGTTTTGATGTTAAACATATTAATACTAATAAAAATTTGACCGCTCAGTTTGCTCATCTTCATTTCTGCTTTTTCTTAAGAAGAAAATCTTGATGTAGTTGTAAACTCAGTTATTTTAGTGTAACTGAAATACTATTATAGTTTTTATTAGTATTTTGAGTTAGTTTTATATTTTCTGTTTTCATATTAATTTTAAAGTTGAATAACTTTGTCATTTTTCTTTTCCTTTTTCTCTTTAATGTGCCTATGTAGTTTAATGTTTCAGTTTTAGTTTAGTACCTAAATGAAATCTAAATGAAAATGAGAAATGTTGCCTTGGTGACTAGCAGGAATTAATATTTTTTCTCTTTAATGTGCCTATGTAGTTTAATGTTTCAGTTTTAGTTTAGTACCTAAATGAAAATGAGAAATGTTGCCTTGGTGACTAGCAGGAATTAATATCATGGTTTATGCATAAATATTAAGCAGCACAACTGTTTTCAACATTGATAAGAAATGTTTCTTGAGCACCAAATCAGCATATTAGAATGATTTCTGAAAGATCATGTGACACTGATGACTGGAGTAATGATGCTGAAAATTCAGCTTTGCATCACAGGAATAAATTACATTTTAAAATGTTACAATAGAAAAGTTATTTTAAACTGCAATGCTGTTTTCACAATATTACTGTATTTTTGAGTGGATAGATGCAGCCTTTGTGAGCATAACAGACTTCAATAAAACATTTTAAAATGTATGCATATATATGTGTGTGTGTATTCATTATATATACACATGAGATGCTGTGCCAGGAAGTGAATGCTTCAACATAATTTTCTTCAATAAAAGTGCTTCACTATATTTAATATTCTGAATATTACACATTTTACTGACAGATTTATGTAAATGTGAATAAGGTGCAGAAAAGTAAGGCCTTGGAATGGCATTGCGCATTAGTAAAAAAAATATATTCTCATTTATGTTTATTTGAAATTAATTTTGAAAGACATTTCTATATAACCACTTCTAATTTCACTTAAAGGTGGGGTAAGTGATTTCTGGTAGCCAATGTTGATATTTCAAATCACCAAAACAAACACGCCCCTACCCCTAAAGGGTCTCGCCCCTATTTTGATAGCTCCGCCCCACACATACGCACGCAACCCAGGCAATTAGTTCTGTGAAACAAAGCAAAACCAATGTTACACCGTGTCTACACCGGACGCGAGCGGCATGGTGCGGCCCGACACAATTCTATAGAACTCCTTATAATCAGTGATGCTGTCTACACTGGATGCCGCGCGGCACGACAAATCCCCGACAGAAAATTGTTGCTGCGTTCTATTTATGACGTCCAGCTGTCGCGGCGCTACTCACCTATCGAGATAAACAAAGCAACCTATCCAATATTTACACGGGTCCTACTTCTTGCCTTATCGTAAGCCTTTCTGTTCCCACAGACGTTGTCCTCCGAGGGTTTTTTTTTTTTTTTTTTTTAAATCCGCCATCTCTATCTTTCTGTCGCTCGGCTCAGCTAATGTCCATCCTGTGCACTAAGCGCTCTCTCCTCCGCATCATGAGTAGACACGCCCCTTACTGCTGATTGGCTACAACTTTGTTTTGGTACTCGGCCCGTTTTTGAAAAAAAATACATACCCCACCTTTAATATAAAACCCTAGAGCAAAACGACTAAATTTCCCTTTACCTAAGAGGATCTCAGCAGTGTAAGGACTGCTCTGGATGACAGATAAATCTAACCAGAAATAAAATTCCTCATACAACCATGTCTGGTTCTTATCCTCTCCAGACCAGCAGAAAACCTTCTACGACCCTTGACCTTGGAGGAAGTGTGAGCAAGTAGACCAGATATATCCAGTTTATTCTCCATCAGCAGGAAAATCACAGAAATGATCAACATGCAAGACTCGATTCACACACCCTCAGCACAGACTGTTCATTGAAAATAAAGATTTGCACACAGACAAGCAAGTCAGTCACCAATGATCCAGAAACGGTGAAAATCAATCGGTTTCACACTCACACACTTACATATAGACATCAAAGTACTTGATAAAAAAAAGTCTCTGTGCATTAATACAGTTTGTTCCACATTATCTGCATGTGGGTACGAGGAGATTTTAAAATTTGGGCTGGTTTCAGTTTAATATCTCTTCATTCAAAAATCAGTTCTTCACATTTTATAAGGTCTCCCTAAGATCACGTTTCTCTCTTGTGCTTTAAAAATCTATAGCTCGTCGACTTTGGACTTTCTAACTGTGCCTTTGTTATTGCAGATAAATGTGGTTCTCTTGTCTCTACACCAGTCATACACCAACACAACAGTATTTCTATAATATAAATCAATATATAACATACATATAGAATAGTCTTGCATCTTTAAGTCCGCAGTTGGTCAAAGGGATGAATCGGAGGTTAAAGATCACAATACACATGTTCATCCTGAAGACAAACTTGAACTTGAGATTCAAGAAACAAAAATATGACCATCTACGAACATTTCTTTATGGCACCAACTTCCTGAACAATTTAATAGTGTTCTTTACTTTTTATCATACATACAAAGAATACACATACTTGCAAATATTTCAAGCAATAAAATCTTGGAAAGCAATGAATGTAAAGGAATGGTGAAAAAGAAGTATTTTAAGGTTGTAGTCGGTCCCAAACGCCACTGAAATGCTTTGGTATATCCTCCTGCTAAAGATATCTAACTGAACTGCACTCAAAATGTAACGGTTTAAACGAAATTCAACTACCAACACAATGAAAAACTAAAGCAATCCATGCGTCTCTGTTACCTGGCACAACAATATGCATAAAATCCCTGTTCTGTCATTCTTGGCAAAAGCTTCTCTTGTCAGTTGCTGGTCAGTGGACAGCACACGGTTAAGAAGTGATGGCCATCTTCCAATTCCGTGATGACATGAGAAAGTACAACTGTCCTTCTACTTGTCAGACCCATTCCTCCAGAGTAGAGACGGATAGGAGCGAAAGCAAAGCGATCACTATAAACACAAGTCAAGCAAACCAACACTTTTCTGATACATGATTGAAATTAAGAGATTAATAAATGTTCCTAATGTATTTATCTTACGCAACAGTTTTTCCGTTAAAATCTTCCTTTTCCTGCAGCTCTCAGTCTGTTTGTCTGCAACAAGCCTGTGCATAATGTAGTGTAGCTGAATTAATTTGTGTTTGTGTGTGCACTCAAAAGAATGAGGAAGATGATGGACAGGGGAGCAGTGGCGCCACCCGGTGGCTCAGTCTCCGTAATGCATGATGGAGTCCACGTAGTTCCCGGGGAAGAGGCCCGTGGTGCCGCTTGTCACGCCCTCGAACCAGCCGTCGTCGTTCTTCTTGATGACGTAAATGATCGCCCCCTCCTGGAAGGATAGCTCATCTTCTTTGTCGCACGTGTAGTCGTAAATCGCCACCACTGTTGCGAATGGTGTGATAAAAATAAGAAAAACAATGTCTGGTTATGTTTTTATTGTAATTACGTATTACACCATGACAGACTGTGCTACACTCTAAATATTGTATATTGTGATGCTGTTGTTATAAACAATTGATCAGCTGTGAATATACTCCTCTCATACCTTACTGCTATTTAAAAAATGTTTACTACATAATAAAAAATGTAACGAAAATTTTTTAAGAATGCACAATATCTGCATCATATCGGTTATAGGCCGATATTACAGATTTTTTTTCCCATTTATCTCTATAGTGAATATAAAATACTTACATATTCACTACAGAGCTGAATGGGGGGAAAAAATCGGTAATATCGGCCTATAACCAATATGATGCAGATTGTATTACATTGTAATTATGTATGCCACTGTTAAATGTAGTATTATTATTTTTTTATGTCTATATAGTTTTTATTCATTTTATTTCAGTATTACTTATTTTAGTTAAACTAAATTAAAATGAGAAATGTTGCCTTGAAAACTTTATTTCAGTCAATATTTATTATTTATTTAAAATAATGTTTTATTTTTTTAATGATGTTCAGTTTTAGTTGTAATAATGTAATAACACTGTATCCATTTTTCATACTGTACATTACTGCCTAAATTTACTTTTAATATTTAACATGATTTTTTGGTTTTGTGTTTTATTTTTATGTAGTTTTTATTTCAATTATGTATATATTTAGTATTTACTTGTAATATAAGTGACTGATTTGAATTTTGTGTTTTTTTTATTCATATAGTTTTTATTATATTATTTCATTTATATATTACTATATTTACTTATCATGTATGCCATAATATAAAAATAATTTGCACTGGCCAGATTTTTAATACCCTACAAATTAAATTAAAATTTAAAAACCTACAATTTTTTATAGAAGCCCATCTCCACTACAAGAAAAAAAAAATCACGCTTTGGCAAAAAAAGACATAATTATGACATAAAAAGTCATTAGCTAAAATTCACAATGACACAAGAAATGTTGACTAATGTCATTGAGTTTTTATCTCATAATGTCACTCATTTTGACTTGTCGATTCCAACTTATGTCATAATTACGATTTACCAAAGCTTGATTTTCTTTTTCTTGTGTAGCAAAAATGGGCTACCACATATTTTCAATAAAACGTATAAACTAAAAAAAAAATAATAATAATAATTGAGATGAACAAGTAACATTTATGATAACGTTGTCAGATTTCATTGCTGGTCTGATATACATTATTGAAATGCAATCATGACCAACAGTGTTTTTTGATCCTTCTCCATTCAAATCGATAGGAGCATTCCTACATGGCCAAACCAGTGTTTACTGTACACTCTGAGAAACAGCTAGAAATAAAAGCTAAAAACAGTAGCGTACCTTTCTCCAGGTAATTGCGAGGGGCCCATGGCGGGGCTTCTTCAGCGTAGGGGTCACTGTACTCCACCACCGCTGACTCTTCCTCATCATCACCCTCCTCATCCTCATAGTCCTCTGGAGGAGGTGGAGGCGGGGTTGCTTCCTCAAACTCCACCTCTTCTGCTGGAGGCGGCGGTGGAGGAGCGTCTGAGACTAAAGGGATGAACAAATAATCTCAGACACAAGCTATTTCTGGGAGAATTTGCTAACTTCTTTTAGCAGATGTGAGACAAATGACTCATGCTGGATGGGGAAGGAGGAAAATGTGTTAATACAGAAATTAGGGAGTATTACATTTAGAGGGCAGAATTACCACTGACCTCAAAACAACAGTAATAAGCAAATTTTTTTGAAAAGGGAACTTCACTAAGGCCATGCACACACTACAGATAAATAAGGTCCAAGATAGTGTTTTCTCCACCACACCATCTAATAAATTATATGAATGTTATATGAAACAAAACAAATGATTAGTCTGATTTTTATACGCCCATTCTATAGAATTACTCAAAGAGTTAGCAGTAACTGAACCTTAAGTCATTACTTTGAGTCATGTCTGACTTGAAATGAAACAAGAAGTGTATTTACAGAACGTAGGCTGTTAAACAGCAACAGCTGAAAGATTCCAGTGTCACTTTATTAGAAAAAATATTTCAGTGTGTACGTGGCCTAACACTCCTCACCAGACAATCACAGATACTGATTACGTGCTTTGTATAATCTTACAAGGGTTTAATTTTATTTTGATTATCAATGTGTGTAACTTTTTAATAACCATAATGAAAGCGACAATGGATAATTTAGCTCAAATATTGGAAACAAGAACGTTCTAACTAAACTGTGTCACTAAGTATGTATATTGAATAATGTTAAAATTGATTTTTACACACTACAGATAAATAAGGTCCAAGATAGTGTTTTCTCCACCACACCATCTAATAAATTATATGAATGTTATATGAAACAAAACAAATGATTAGTCTGATTCTTATACGCCCATTCTATAGAATTACTCAAAGAGTTAGCAGTAACTGAACCTTAAGTCATTACTTTGAGTCATGTCTGACTTGAAATGAAACAAGAAGTGTATTTACAGAACGTAGGCTGTTAAACAGCAACAGCTGAAAGATTCCAGTGTCACTTTATTAGAAAAAATATTTCAGTGTGTACGTGGCCTAACACTCCTCACCAGACAATCACAGATACTGATTACGTGCTTTGTATAATCTTACAAGGGTTTAATTTTATTTTGATTATCAATGTGTGTAACTTTTTAATAACCATAATGAAAGCGACAATGGATAATTTAGCTCAAATATTGGAAACAAGAACGTTCTAACTAAACTGTGTCACTAAGTATGTATATTGAATAATGTTAAAATTGATTTTTATTTTTATGAATTTAATCATGTACTCAATTTCAATTTCCACATGCTCTTCTGATTGGCTGTGATTTGTGGTTGATTTTGTTGCATCTTGTAACCATATCACATCTGGAGTGGACAGACAAATTACTTGTTGCTGAAATCTTATCTTATTGGGTCTGGTTAGGACACACTGTTGGAAATTCCCCGCATGTCTTAAAGGGCTCATCGGATGAACATTTTCCACAAGTTGGTATGATTTATTAGGGTCTTCATGAAATGTCTGTAACATATTTTGCTTAAAAACACTCAATGGCTGTGTAAACAACACCCTTTTTGCCTTGTCAAAAACAGCTCTGCTCACACCAACCCGTTTTGGTGTATGCCTCTTTAAATGATAATGAGTTACTGTGCACCCCCAGTCCCCTTCCGGGATTTCCACTAAAAATCACTTGTCTCCTCTGAGGCTGGGACTCTAAATAATGATTTGTGTTCGTCTGTGCAGCCAATGACAGAACATTTAGCATGTTGCCTTGTCAAAAACAGCTCTGCTCACACCAACCCGTTTTGGTGTATGCCTCTTTAAATGATAATGAGTTACTGTGCACCCCCAGTCCCCTTCCGGGATTTCCACTAAAAATCACTTGTCTCCTCTGAGGCTGGGACTCTAAATAATGATTTGTGTTCGTCTGTGCAGCCAATGACAGAACATTTAGCATGTTTTCCACAAACTTTTGCCATGGCGTCAGAACAAGTACTGTTGCTTGAGAAAACAACAATTGCGGCTGAGTGCCGTGGGTGCAAACGTGCAGATTAATGGGCGGTAATATTATAATAAGAACCCCTTCCTACATCAGAGGGGGAGAGCAATCTGATCGGCTCGTTTTCTCACATGCTTGCAGAGAAAGGCTTACAAAACCAAAATAAACTAAAAAAAAAATAATAATAATAATTGAGATGAACAAGTAACATTTATGATAACGTTGTCAGATTTCATTGCTGGTCTGATATACATTATTGAAATGCAATCATGACCAACAGTGTTTTTTGATCCTTCTCCATTCAAATCGATAGGAGCATTCCTACATGGCCAAACCAGTGTTTACTGTACACTCTGAGAAACAGCTAGAAATAAAAGCTAAAAACAGTAGCGTACCTTTCTCCAGGTAATTGCGAGGGGCCCATGGCGGGTCTTCTTCAGCGTAGGGGTCACTGTACTCCACCACCGCTGACTCTTCCTCATCATCACCCTCCTCATCCTCATAGTCCTCTGGAGGAGGTGGAGGCGGGGTTGCTTCCTCAAACTCCACCTCTTCTGCTGGAGGCGGCGGTGGAGGAGCGTCTGAGACTAAAGGGATGAACAAATAATCTCAGACACAAGCTATTTCTGGGAGAATTTGCTAACTTCTTTTAGCAGATGTGAGACAAATGACTCATGCTGGATGGGGAAGGAGGAAAATGTGTTAATACAGAAATTAGGGAGTATTACATTTAGAGGGCAGAATTACCACTGACCTCAAAACAACAGTAATAAGCAAATTTTTTTGAAAAGGGAACTTCACTAAGGCCATGTACACACTACAGATAAATAAGGTCCAAGATAGTGTTTTCTCCACCACACCATCTAATAAATTATATGAATGTTATATGAAACAAAACAAATGATTAGTCTGATTCTTATACGCCCATTCTATAGAATTACTCAAAGAGTTAGCAGTAACTGAACCTTAAGTCATTACTTTGAGTCATGTCTGACTTGAAATGAAACAAGAAGTGTATTTACAGAACGTAGGCTGTTAAACAGCAACAGCTGAAAGATTCCAGTGTCACTTTATTAGAAAAAATATTTCAGTGTGTACGTGGCCTAACACTCCTCACCAGACAATCACAGATACTGATTACGTGCTTTGTATAATCTTACAAGGGTTTAATTTTATTTTGATTATCAATGTGTGTAACTTTTTAATAACCATAATGAAAGCGACAATGGATAATTTAGCTCAAATATTGGAAACAAGAACGTTCTAACTAAACTGTGTCACTAAGTATGTATATTGAATAATGTTAAAATTGATTTTTATTTTTATGAATTTAATCATGTACTCAATTTCAATTTCCACATGCTCTTCTGATTGGCTGTGATTTGTGGTTGATTTTGTTGCATCTTGTAACCATATCACATCTGGAGTGGACAGACAAATTACTTGTTGCTGAAATCTTATCTTATTGGGTCTGGTTAGGACACACTGTTGGAAATTCCCCGCATGTCTTAAAGGGCTCATCGGATGAACATTTTCCACAAGTTGGCATGATTTATTAGGGTCTTCATGAAATGTCTGTAACATATTTTGCTTAAAAACACTCAATGGCTGTGTAAACAACACCCTTTTTGCCTTGTCAAAAACAGCTCTGCTCACACCAACCCGTTTTGGTGTATGCCTCTTTAAATGATAATGAGTTACTGTGCACCCCCAGTCCCCTTCCGGGATTTCCACTAAAAATCACTTGTCTCCTCTGAGGCTGGGACTCTAAATAATGATTTGTGTTCGTCTGTGCAGCCAATGACAGAACATTTAGCATGTTTTCCACAAACTTTTGCCATGGCGTCAGAACAAGTACTGTTGCTTGAGAAAACAACAATTGCGGCTGAGTGCCGTGGGTGCAAACGTGCAGATTAATGGGCGGTAATATTATAATAAGAACCCCTTCCTACATCAGAGGGGGAGAGCAATCTGATCGGCTCGTTTTCTCACATGCTTGCAGAGAAAGGCTTACAAAACCAAATTTACTGGGTTCTTCTTTTCCACGTTTTCTGAGTTGGTAGATGCACCGGACACTCAATTATAGCACTTAAAAAGTCAGATTTTTCATCCGATGAGCCCTTTAAAGGTTTATAAGTTGTAGTTTAAAATCAATTTCCCTATGGAGAAAATGTAAGAAATGTTTACTTCCAGAACGTGGCTGTTGCTATCTATAAGTATATCCCTCCCACTAATACTAAACGCCTCTGACTAGAAATAGCAAATCACAGGTTCAAGAATGTGACGTGTACTAAAGTCGAATGCGATGTAAACTAATGTCGCTCCCAACTTCCGGTTTCAATAGAAAATCTGTCAACACAGGACTAAAAACTGCACCCATCAAGAAATTCATGGGGTCTTTTATAACCGAACATCCAAGGCGCCCATCAGAAGTGTAGATGTTTTTGAATTCTGTGAAATCTGTGGCACAGCCTGGTTATAAGTGATTCACTGTGCATTAAAATGATAACTAAAGCCTCGTTCAGACTGTCAGCCCAAATCCGATTTTGTGCATATCTGGATGGAATTTGATTTGAATAACTGACTGTCCACACAGTGTATCGCAACTGTTCATATCCGATTTGTGTGTCCATAAGTGCTCTTTTTTTTTTACGGAATGTGTATTGGTTTCTATGGTAATGCCGTTGCGTTGTTATGCCTACGCTAAAAACAACAGTAACAACAATACAGTTTGCGATACAGATGTTGTCTTACGACATTTCGTCTTGTGAGGCTACGGCAGAAACGCAGGAAGCTGGAATGTGCAGCTTTATTCCGTGCCGCCGTCTCTGCTACTTTCAAAACTCAAAGAGCTGCGTATATTAGCAGTATATTGTGTTTTTCCGCTTGACTTGCACTTCGCAACGACACAAGCTTGTTTCTGGCATGTTTTCTGCAAAAAACGTCTGACGTGTTTCCGTTTCACGTGGCATGAGGGCGTGAAAAAGCTACGCTAAATCCGATCTGACCGGTCAGACTGTCTTAACCGTGGCTTGTGTACTGCAAACACATACCAGCTTCATCACTGTGTCTGTCACGCGACTGTACCCCTTTCGGGCTCTGTATTTACATTTATTTTGAAAGATGAAGCTTGCGATTATGGTAAGGGGCGTTACATTTCCGACGAGTGCTTGCGGTGTTTGGCCAATCACAATGCACTGGGTCAGCTGGCCAATCAGAGCAGACTGCGCTTGTCAGAAGGAGGGACTTTGTAGAAAACGAAGCGTTTGAGAGAGGCAGGGCATATAGGACCTACAATAATGTACAGTATTTAAAAAATAATGTGTTTTTTGAACATTAAAGCATGTCAACATATTCTGTTACACCAAATACACAAAATAATGATCTTTAAAAAAGCATCATATGACCCCTTTAAGGGCTTTTCACACTGAAAGTGAAAATTCGGCGCGATGACTCTTTATTAATCGAAACAATAGATCCCTATGGGGCTATTCACATTAGGCTAGTGTTCATTCGAGGTGCGAAAAAGCGAGGATTTTTTTTCGTTCTGTGTGTCAATTTTTCCCCCGTCGCTCCACGATGAAACAGGCCGTCCAATCAGATTTGAGCTTAGATCATGTTCCAAGAGCAGCTGCTGTTGCACAAAAGGGTGAGAGCGGTGGCGCTATTTCGAAAACCAGTGTAAACAAACACCGAAGAAGAGTATCCCGGTAGAGAGAAGCAGTGGTGGACAGTAACGGAGTAGTTTTACTTCGTTTATTTTGAATAAATTTTACTTCACTACATTCCAAAGCATAAGACCGTACTTTTTACTTCACTACATTTCATAAAACATATCGTTACTCCTTATAATATATCACGTGCTCCGAGACGCAGAAGCGAGGTCGGATTCAAGAACGAACTGAATCTTTTCAATGAACCTTTTAAATCGGTTCGCAAATCACACCAAACGATTCATTCACGAATTAGAATGAACCGAATGCAGCTGTTCTCAAGTCGACAACTCACTGATTCAAATGAACCGTTTAGTGCGAGTCTCCAGTGAACTGAATTCACAAGTAAGAACCGGGAGATCATGTGAGCAATGCAAGCAAGTTACTAATGTCAAATTTTAGGATTAATTATTGTAACTGAAGATCATATTTAGGTCAAAACTGTCAGTTGTTTATGAACTAAATCTGCTGTAAAGGGTGATCTATTTAAGCCCACTGAAATGCTTGAATGCAGACACATCAACATCAGTGTCTCTATGTTTTAGGTAAAAAAAAAAAAAGAAACGTTAAAATAACACAGACTAAATAAAATAACTCATGCACGTTCATATTCCCCGCTGCCGTAACGTTAACAGTTTTATTAAAATGCTACACATTTAGCCCTATGTGACGTCTGTTTTTATATTGTTTATCAACAGTATAAATTTTTATATTGTTTTGATTAACTAGCCGAGTACAGATATGAATGTTTTTAGTGCGAGTCTCCAGTGAACTGAATTCACAAGTAAGAACCGGGAGATCATGTGAGCAATGCAAGCAAGTTACTAATGTCAAATTTTAGGATTAATTATTGTAACTGAAGATCATATTTAGGTCAAAACTGTCAGTTGTTTATGAACTAAATCTGCTGTAAAGGGTGATCTATTTAAGCCCACTGAAATGCTTGAATGCAGACACATCAACATCAGTGTCTCTATGTTTTAGGTAAAAAAAAAAAAAGAAACGTTAAAATAACACAGACTAAATAAAATAACTCATGCACGTTCATATTCCCCGCTGCCGTAACGTTAACAGTTTTATTAAAATGCTACACATTTAGCCCTATGTGACATCTGTTTTTATATTGTTTATCAACAGTATAAATTTTTATATTGTTTTGATTAACTAGCCGAGTACAGATATGAATGTTTATTCATAACCATACTGAAAATAAGTAAATATTGTTAGCTGATGCTAACTGCCTAGCTAACAAGCTTGCTGGTGCTAAGTTGAGGTAATTTTTAGATATAAAGTCCAAATATTTTTTATTCAACCACCTAGATCGATTACATCTGAGGGCAAAGAAAGGATGTGATGTGATGTTAAGAACATGGTAACTACAGTAATTATCAAAGTGGGAAGTGATGCACTCTGGGGGCATTTGGCCAGGGGTGTTTTTACACCACAGACAAGGTTTGACAAGAAAAAAATCATTATGAAAATATAATTATATTTTCCTTAAAATGTTCTTCTTAACTTCAGGCCGTATTCTCATGTCATATATAACTGTGATGTTCTGCAAAACAACAAGCTTTAAAACACTTTTTTCTTACTGGTGAAAATCAGACGGTCAGATCCGTTTTCTCTCAGGTACATCGCAGTGTAAGCTTCATAGTGAACATTACTACATCACTCTCGTCAACGTAGTCCATATCAACAACAAAAATATATCTTTACTCCATATAGTGGTTATTTTGGGAAAATCCCAGGTATTTTGAGCAGTAAGATTATAAAAAATATGTGCTAATATAAAATTAAATTAAGTAGCCTATATAAAATTGCAAAATAAATCTATATCAGTTCTTTTTTTTTACTTAAGTACATAAAAATAGAGTACTTTTGTACTTTCACTCGAGTAAAATTGAAAAAGGAGTACTTTTACTCTTACTGGAGTAATATTTTATAATACGTATCTGTAGTTTTACTCAAGTGCTTGATTTGTGTACTTCGTCCACCACTGCATATTACAGACATGTTGATTTCTGGGGCGAAATGGCCAATCAGATGCGTTTCAGTTAGTCAGAGTCCACTCACCGCTCAAAACGCCAGTTTTTGTTCAGTCCTGAGTTCTGCAAACTCGCAATTCCTCTCATTATAATGAACAAAGTGTAGACACAATGTAAATAAGAAATTAGGCTAATTGTGCTATGTAGAGAGATTCATTGATTATAGCGGAATTTTCTTACATTGCGATAAACTTAAATGAGTGACAGCTTTTTAGTGATTAAGGGAGCGCTCTTTGCATGCTTTCTTGGCTATATATAGTCCATTCAGAATTTGAATAAAAGTTTTGTTTTTCATGCTGCTAAGAGGACCAATGTGGAGTAAATGCTGCAAAGTTTCGGAGGTGCACTGTCTGACATAGTGATAATCATATTAATGGACTGGACAAAATATGATATGTCAAAATAGATGTGCACATAGGCTAAAACCCTCACTAATTTCAGAAGCACTGATAGTGATTTGGTTCTTGAATAGTGCCTGATCCTTCCGGAGCTCCTCCGTGGGACTCAAGACCAGTCTGTGGCACATCTATCTATCTCTTTATATAGCCTATATATATATATATGCTATATAAAGAGATAGATAGATGCGCCACAGACTGGTCTTGAGTCCCACGGAGGAGCTCCGGAAGGATCAGGCACTATTCAAGAACCAAATCACTATCAGTGCTTCTGAAATTAGTGAGGGTTTTAGCCTATGTGCACATCTGTTTTGACATATCATATTTTGTCCAGTCCATTAATATGATTATCACTATGTCAGACAGTGCACCTCCGAAACTTTGCAGCATTTACTCCACATTGGTCCTCTTAGCAGCATGAAAAACAAAACTTTTATTCAAATTCTGAATGGACTATATATAGCCAAGAAAGCATGCAAAGAGCGCTCCCTTAATCACTAAAAAGCTGTCACTCATTTAAGTTTATCGCAATGTAAGAAAATTCCGCTATAATCAATGAATCTCTCTACATAGCACAATTAGCCTAATTTCTTATTTACATTGTGTCTACACTTTGTTCATTATAATGAGAGGAATTGCGAGTTTGCAGAACTCAGGACTGAACAAAAACTGGCGTTTTGAGCGGTGAGTGGACTCTGACTAACTGAAACGCATCTGATTGGCCATTTCGCCCCAGAAATCAACATGTCTGTAATATGCAGTGGTGGACGAAGTACACAAATCAAGCACTTGAGTAAAACTACAGATACGTATTATAAAATATTACTCCAGTAAGAGTAAAAGTACTCCTTTTTCAATTTTACTCGAGTGAAAGTACAAAAGTACTTGATTCTTTATGTACTTAAGTAAAAAAGTACTGATAGATAGATTTATTTTGCAATTTTATAGTCTTAATTACTTAATTAAATTTTATATTAGCACATATTTTTTATAATCCTACTGCTCAAAATACCTGGGATTTTCCCAAAATAACCACTATATGGGGTCAATATATATTTGTGTTGTTGATATTATGGACTACGTTGAGGAGAGTGCTGTAGTAATGTTCACTGTGAAGCTAACACTGCGATGTACCTGAGAGAAAACAGATCTGACCATCTGATTTTCACCAGTAAGAAAAAAGTGTTTTAAAGCTTGTTGTTTTGCAGAACATCACAGTTATATATGACATGAGAATAAAGCCTGAAGTTAGGAAGAACATTTTAAGGAAAATATAATTATATTTTCATAATGATTTTTTTCTTCTCAAACCTTGTCTGTGCTGTAAAAACACCCCTGGCCAAATGCCCCCAGAGAGCATCACTTCCCACTTTGATAATTACTGTAGTTACCATGTTCTGAACATCACATCCTTT